GGAAGAAGAGATTTAAGGGTGAGGAAGTGGGGAGGCTCTTCAGAGACTGGAAAGAGAGACTCTGCCCGAGGAAGTCCATCAGGGAAAGACCAGAGATGGAATTTTCTGGCTGCATAAAGTCCAAGGGCAGAATGCCCCCAATCTGCCACTGACCCATCGGAAAGCTGAAACCCTGCTTAAGGACCCTCAGAACAGGAGAGGAACCCATAGATAAGGACCAGGACCGTCACAGCTGGCAGAAACCTGAGGGATGATGGGGCCCGCCTCTCAATTTCCAGGTGGGGTCTGTCTGAGCCATTCTTCAGCAGCAGGCAACCTGCTTAAGGCCCAGGACTGACCTGAAACATCAGCCACTGTCTGGACCAGAGAGGTGGTCCCATTTGACAAGGTCACACAGGAAATGACCAAGGTGGGACAGAGCCATCTTCCCCACTACCAGAGCATCCACCAGGGGGTAGAAAAGGAACTAGAGTCAGATCTCAATAAGAAGAGAATAAACTTCTTTCATTTTGGGGGGCAGGCTAATAACCCCCCAAAGAACTTTTTCCAAATGAAGAAGTCAGCTCAGGAAAGCTCAAAGATAAATGAGAGAAATAATTTAATGCAGACCAAGTTCAAAATCTGTGCCACTCCCATGGAAATATAACTCGGCCTGCTATGTCTCAGAACAGAGGCCCCCTCAGCAACACCACGTCCTGACACACATAGTGAGGCTTTCCTGTGTATTTATCCTGGACCTTCTTAAAGAGGCTGTGTTTCATCTATTTGCCTCCTAGGAAGTTTCCATTAGGGCTTATCTGGCTCACCTGGCATACCTTTGCCCTCACCCAGTGAGCTGAAGAACCTGACCCAGCCAAAGAGTCCAGGGACGAAACCATCACAGGAGGTAAGGTTGCATAAGGAAGCCTGTGAGTGTGAACCTGAGTTTGGGTCAAGGCGCCACCACTGGGGAAACCGTCCAGAAGGCAAGCACGGGAGCCAGTGTGCACAGTCAAGACCAGCCTGTTTTCGTGCACAAAGTCCAGTTCCTGCCAGAATTGCTCACATGGTCTGTGGGTCTAAACCCTAAGTGAAAAGGGCAGTGACTCAATTTTTTGGCCTCATTTTTGACAGTGGGGACAGGAACCAGAATTGAATCCTGTTGAATATACCAACTGTATCATCTCATCTTCACCACAAGGGGGCACTCCACCTAAGGGTGAGAATCAGGCTGAGACGGGTGGAATGACTTATCCAAGGTCACACAACTGGAAAGAGGCACAGCTGGGACTTGGACCAGCACTTCTGCTCCTACCCACCATGCGAGGCGCTCTCTGCCCTCCATAAGAAACTTTTCGTAACAAACTTTTCACTTGCAAAACGGGGCCCACTTCTGGGGCCCAGAGAGGCCACGAAAGTTCCCCAAGGTCACATGGTCAGTTGGTGGTAGAGCTGAGACTGGGTAACAGAAAAGAATTATTTCTTGCTGCATCCTTGGGGGACCCATACAGGAATAAGGCGTGAGGGGAGAGGGAGGAAAACTGGGACACAACAAGGAGATTAAGCTCCATGGATGGAGAGCCCTGACAGAAGCAAAGGGGCTTAGGAAGAGAATCTGCAGACCCCAGTGGACCCCAGCACCAAGGCAGCCCATCTGGGTACCCAGGCGACGATGTGGAACACGACTCACTTCTTCTGCTTCTTCTCAAGCTCGTGGTTCCGGCTTTGCTGGCTCTCCAGCAGGAAGCGGGTGTCCTCCAGGTCACAGGTCAGATGGCGGCACTTCCTCTTCAGCTGGTGGGCCATCTTCTTGGCCCCCTCGTAAGCAGTCTGCAGCTCCCCGAGCTGTGGGAGGAACAGAATGAGTCACCCTACTCTGCTGGTGCTGAATAGGCCTCCTACTCTTTATTTCAAACCACTGCCGTTCCCAGTGTGAGTATAATGGAAAGAGAACGGCCACTGGGGCTGGGGAGACCCTGTCTGGACCACTTTCTGTGTGTGTCACCTTGGGGCAGCAATTTCTCTGAGCTTCATTTTGCTCAGGGATAAAATGGGGGGGGTGTCTATCATTCCCTTAGGGGTATCAATTTTCCTTAGTGATCCTCCTGCCAACGTGCCCACAGATGCTCTACACACCCTGCCTCAACTCGACAGCCCTGAGCACAGCCCCAAGTACCATGTGTAATTAACATCCCCATCAGCAGGCAGAACCTGGGGAGACATGTGATGATTGGCCATGAAGCAGCCAGAATGGCACATGGAGAACATCTGACTGGAAACCAAGAGACAGGCACTAAAGGTCCGGGCAGTCTGTGGCCCTTTAGATGGGCTGACTTACGCAGGAACACACACACTGTAAACAAACACAAAAGCAAAGACTCTTGGATCTTCCTCCAGAAAACACCCTCCCAAATGTCCTAGTTTAGATCTGGGAGAGAGGGCAACTCAGCACACTCGCTTTGAAGAAATGGCCTCATTAAAGAATCGCTTTAAATAAGCAAAATGCTGAGTTAATGAAGCCTGTAATTCTAAATTCAGTATTTGAAGGCAAATGGGATGTTTTCTAATATTCTGCTGCTCAGAAAAGGTTGCAGTTTTATTAGTTTTTAATGTAGCATGAATATCCCCTCTTCCTTGGGGAGACTGACCTGACGCTATAATTTGTTATTAAAGAACTGAGCTGTTTGCGGGCGGTTGTCCCTCCCTGGTTATCTGCAACTGAAGATGACTCCTGAGGACCACAAAAGGTCCATCTTGGAAGTGACCACTAAAATCATCACCACCCAGCCTCACTTTCATTGTTCATAAAATATCATGGGATCTCCTCGTGGCCCACCTCTACAAGCTCATTACATGATACTTTCCCCTCACAGTGAGGCGATACATATACAGTAGTGGGATAGGCAAATAAGACCTCAGCTCTCACTGTGCTTACCTCTTATGTGGGAAGACCAAGAAATAAGCAGATGGTTACAATACAGCAGGATGAGGCTTATATTTGGGGAAATAATTCAGGGACACTCAACCCAGTCTGTGTCAGGGGAGACTCTGGAGGAAAGGACACTTAAGCTGAGATCTTAAGGCTAGTTGGAGATACTGAGATAGGACAGAGAAAGAAAGTGCTCTAGGAAGTGGAAACAGCATTTGCAAAGGCCCAGAGGTGAGAATAAGGCTTTTTGGAAGGAGAAAAACAAACCAGTGCAACGGACAGAATAGAGTCCAGAAATAGACCCACAGAGACACATCATTTGATGCTTCACAAAGGGGAAGATGCTGTACAATGCAGCAAAGACAGTCTTTTCCAGAAATGGCACTGGACCAACTGGTCATCTCATCCGCAGGCAAAGAAATGAATCTAGACACAGACCTTACACAAAAATTAACTCAAAATGGATCAGAGACCTTAAAGTAAAATGCAAAACTATAAAGCTCCTAGAAGGTGATGTAGAAGAAAACCCTGATGACCTTGGGTTTGGCAATGACTTTTCAGATACGACATCAAGGACATGACCCTCGGAAGGATGACTTTATAAGCTGGACTTCATTTAAAATTTCTGCTCTGCAAAAAACGATACCATAAAGAATAAAAAGACAAGCCACAGACAGGGAGAAAATACTTGCAAAAGACGTATCTGAGGAAGAAGTTACCCAAAATATACAAAGAACTTTTAAAACTCAACAATAAGAAAACAAACAACTCAATTAAAAAATAGGCCAAAGACCTTAACACTTTACCAAAGAAGACTGTAGATGATGAATGAGAATATGAAAAGACGCTCCACATCACGTGTCACCAGGGAAATGCAAATTAAAACAACGAGACACCACTACACACTTACCAGAATGACTAAAATCTGGAGCACTGACACCACCAAACGCTCACAAGGAAGCAGAGCAACAGGAACACTCACTCATTGCTGGTGGGAATGCAAAAGGGCACAGCCACTTTGGGGGACAGTTTAGCGGTTTCTTACGAAACTAAACACAGTCTTAACATATGATCCAGTGACCATGCACCTTGGAATTTACACAAAGGTACTGAAGACTCATGCCCACGTTAAAACCTGCACATGGATGTTCCTGTGACTCTATTCACAACTGCCAAAACATGGAAGCAACAAAGAGGTCCTTCGATGGGTGAATGGATAAATGACACATGTGACAGCTCCAGACAGTGGACTATTATTCAGCACTAAAAAGAAATGGGCTATCAAGCCATGAAAAGACATGGAGGAACCTTAAATGCATATCACTAAGCGAAAGAAGCCAATCTGAAAAGACTGCATATGGTCTGATTCCAACCATATACTTCTGGAAAAAGCAAAACTATGGAGACAGTAAAAACATCGGTGGTTGCCAGGGGCTGGGGGAGGTGGGATGAATTACTGGAGCACAGAGGATTTTCCAGGGCAGTGAATCTATTACGAAGGAAAACTATAATGATGGGTATATCTCATTACACATTTCCCCAACCCATAAAATATATAACATCAAGAGTAAACCCTAATGTAAACTATGGTCTCCAATGATGTGTCAATGAGGGTTCATCAACTGTAACCAAATGTCCCACTCTGGGACTCTGATCATGGGGGAGACTATGCATGTGTGGGCGTTGGGGGCAGATGGGAAATCTCTGCACCTTTCTCTCAATTTTGCTCTGAGCCTAAACAACCGAGCTGGGTGGATGCTGCGGCGTGCTGGAGCTGTGGCAGACTGGCTTATGAGAGCTGACGCTGCACATCTCTTCCCAGTTCCACATCCAGCCACATCCAACACAGCTGGAAACTGGCCATGGTGGGAACATTTACACCCCAGAAACTGGCAACTGGAAAACACTACACATCAGGGTGTTTGTCTGTCTGTTTTCAGAGTGCCAGTTTACCAGCACACCACGGGTTACACTGCAGACAGGTTAGATCGTAGAGTAGGGGTAGCTGGAGGCAAAGCAAAATAGTCAAAGAGGTAAAGCTATCACTACATTCATCTAGAAATGCTAGAGAAAGATATAATATATTTGTAATGTCCAGCTGCACTCTCAAGAAAGAAAGGGAAACTGGGAGATGTCATAAACACAGAGGACACAAAACAGGAACAAGAATGTAGATGCTGACCCTATGACAAGAGGATCGGAACAGCAGAAAGATGCAGAAATACCCCTAAGGATACAGGCTGTGTTCAAATGCCCGAGAGAGACAGGAGACGAGGCCTTGGGCCCATGGAAGGTGGGAGTCTGGAATGAAGACCCTTGCACTGAGCCAGGAAGCTCAGAGAGCTGCCCCTCAGTGAGCAGGAAAAGCTCCACTCATGGCCCAGAAAGTGGTCAGGATGCTTGCTGCCATCATGGCTCTGGGAAGGGGGGAAAGGATTCCCATAAGAAATCATAACCCTAGGTCTGTGCCTCAGGTGGGTTTAGAGCTCAAACTGACACTTCGCACACGTGGCAAAAGTCTGAAAGGCAGAATTTAGCATAACCTTGGGGGCTGCTGCAGGAAAAAAAAGCATGGAAGTGTTTCTTCTCAAGGAACACAACTGCAACCCTTTAGACACAGGACTCCCTTCACAATCAATAAAAAAGTTTTTAAAATTTTTAAAATACGATTAACTCACAATAAAAAAAAAAAAAGCTAAGTACACAAAAAATCTCACCATGATGGTCACAAGGGAAAAAAAGGAACACCCACAGTGCAGACGACTTGGGCTAGTGTGCGGGAGTAGAGGGACCTGTTAAAGATGAGCTCACAGTCAAAACCGAGAGAGCACACAGGGGAACGATCCCCAGTGAGAGTCAGCATAACCTGTGCTAACAGGACCACCTGAGAGAGACTCTGAAAGAGCCTTTGGCTGCAGCGCGGCAGGTGGGTGAGAGGAGAGGCTGGAGGCAAGGAGACCAGTTAGGAGGCTGCTGCTGGGGTCTAGATGAGAGATGGAGGTGGCAAGTTAGAAGAGAGGCTGTGGGAATGGACACCATTTGACAATTTTAAGAGGTGATATAATCACTTTATAGATGAGACATCTGAGGCCCCAAAGGTCAAAGTGGAAAGGGAACTGGAACTCAGCTATCCTGCACTCACGTTCATGTTCTCTGGACTGCAGTGGAGAACACACGCATGCTGAGAAACCATTCCCCCTGGGCAGCAGCAACCTGCATCTGCAGTATCAGTGGAGGTGGGGACATGTCAAGTGGGGGATGCCCTCTCTCCCTTCCCTGGCTGGACCAACACCCTGAACGGTGGAGTGCTTTTGTGACCCAGACTATCCCGTCTCTCACCTTCTGCTCCAGCTCCTTCCGAGACGCCAGCTCTGAGTCCAGCCTCTCCTCCGACTGTTGGAGACGCTTTCTGAGGAACTCGTTCTCCATCTGAGCACAGTCGAAGCGCATCTGCCACTCGTCTGCTGCTCAACAGAGTCAGAGAGGCCAGGATGGAGGCTCGGTGAGTGAGGGTGCTCCCCACTGTGCTCTCAGCTTTTAGTGCACAATTTCACCATGTTAATTTGAATTCTTAAGGCTCAACCTTGGACTTTAGATTAGGAAACCCCACCTTAAACTCAATTTACAAACACCACTTCCTTCAGGCAGCTGCCCGACCACCTCCAGCTGTCTAAAGGTACTGACTGCTCACTTTTTAAGCTTGGCTGTTTTGCTTTGTTCAATTTCTCTACAGGTGTGCACATACCTTTCTCCCTCCCCCTCCAAGGAAATTCCACTATGTTTGAGGGCAGGGGAGCTGTTTTAGTCATTTGTGGATCCTCAACACCCTCTAGAAGGGTTCCCAACCTGCGTAAGTAGTTTCCCCATACATGGTAATACAAGTTTTCCAATTAGAGTCACCCTAGTGGCCAACCACACTGGGTGACAGAGTATGTAATCAGTGACTGTTGGCTGAACTGATGAACAAATAAATCAATGAGCAGTAATTTAAGTGTCTATTAAGTGCAGAGCAATAGAGATGTTGGTCACAAGATATCTCTATGTGATAATGGAACAATACCTTGATTTGGTAAAAATCTAAAAAAATTGCTGATGTGATTAAAAAACTGGCTGAAACTAGAAATAGGACAGATTAGGCTTTGATAGCTTTTGACTATTTGAATATCAGAATAATGTCCTTTAAGGTACTGGAGAATGGAAAACACTGCACAAATGGACAGTTTAAGGCAAAGACCATCCATCTCTCCATCCATCTGTCCGACCATCCATCCACCATCCGTTGTTTCACCTGCCTTCCATCCACTCACTCACTGAGTATACTGCTCTATACCAGGCACAAAGGAAAATGAGTAAGAAACGATTCCGTCTTCCAGAAGTACCTAGTGGTGGAGACGAACATGTAAAAGACAGCTGCAACCTAGCACGATCGGGACTTTCAAAAAGGAAGGTTAAGGTAACCCAGAAGAGGACTCGAACTCTGAAGAGCAGCAAACCCTTGTTTTGTTCATGACTGTGTCTGCAGGACTTACTACAATGCCTAACGAGTCATAAATGCTCCATAACTTTTGCTGGACAGATGGACGGATGGATGTGAGGGTGCAGATAGGTGGGTACATGGATGGATGGATACATGGATGGATGGTAGGACTGAGGTCTTGCAGGAGATCACCCCAATACGGATGCTCACATAACGAACCCAAACAGAAGGATGATATAACTGTAAGAACTCAGAGCTTGTTCAAGTTTCCATCAAGGTGAATAATATTATGGTAGGAAAAGAATTCTCTCTCCCTTCTGGGAAAAAAAATATCTCAAGTAGCAAAGAGCATAGCCTCAAAAGCAAGAAGCAGCAGAAAATATTTCTGTGGCTTCCCATGTACCTCGTGCTGTGCTTGGCTACAGAGCAAAGGGTATGAGCGGGCCACTCGAACACATGAGGACGCTGTCCTCCATTCTTCGAGGTTGACCCCCGCCTCCAACCTCCCTCTCCGTGGGCGCCATCCCTAATCAGTCCGTATAAGGAGCCCTTCATTACACACTCACATCTCTCCTGGGTTTGTCTGATTTCCCCATCTGTACTGCAAGCTTCTTGACAGCAGGGCCCAACTAAAATTCTCCTGTGACCTCCCACCCCCAGAGTCCAGCTCACTGCTGGATGCAGACCGTAAAAGGCTCTTTACATACTTAATCATGCTGAGTGGAAAACACATAGACATTTTTCATGATTTATCCTCCAGCTTGATTATCAGAGAAGGCTGTGGTGGCACTGCAGTGGTGTGATTACAGTGTTTTATTGCTTCTTTCAACTTTCCTGTATTTTAGAAATTTTCTCTAATGAGTATGTATTACTTTCATAATGAAAAACAAAGTATTTGTGGATTGGCTTCCTAGAATAGGCACCCCAAGCTGGAAGGCTGGAGAACACCGTGACTAATGTGCTCATGAGCTACTAAGCACATCTCCCCCTCATTAGACTCCCAGATCCTTCCTCGGGAGAAAACTGGACAGGGAGTGTCATTCAGACATGAATCACAGTCAGGACGGAACCGGGCTGACATTCTTCAGGGGAAATTGAGCTGGTTTTGCGCACACTCATTCCCCACTCCTTGCAGGGACCCCACCCTGTTGGGTCTCCTGTATCTGAGAATCTCGGACTCCTCTGGGTTAACATCCCTGGTAAATGCCTACCCTGGGGGCAGCCAGGATGAGAGGGTAACAAGAGTGGAGGAGACAGCAAACGTGCCCCGCCTCTTTCCCGTCCCCTCCTGACCTCCGTTCCTCTCAGTGAACCTGACGTTTCTAGGACATGAGTTCTCTGGGGGCGCTGACAGGCTGATGTCAGCGTTTTATAAAAGCTGACAGACACACTGGGAACCCTCCTCGGCTGACTTATTTGGATTGGGGAGCGGAGTTGACAGAGATGTCATCCTGCCCATCCAGCCATGAGACAGAAGTCTCCAGGCAGCATCTAAGGCGGGCACCACCAGGAATTCCTGGCTCCTCTGAGTACATCTCTCATTGGGCAGTTCAGGGGTCCTCTCCCCTTCTCTCCATCCGTTCAAAAACTGCTAAGTGCCTGGCATCACTGTGAAATGGGGACAGGAGTAGTCCTGCTCCACAGGCGATGAGCAGGAATAATGATCCCACTGTTAGTAATATTAGAAATAATGAAGAAATACCTAACAGGCAGCATTCTGTACCACACACGAGGCTGAACTCTTTCCACTAATCACCTATGGCTATAGCCATTAAAAAGATGAGAAAATTAAGGTAAAACCATGTCTTTGCCCAAAGCCACCCATCTAACAAGCAATGGAGTCTAGACTCAAATCTGGAAAGGGGATTTTGTAGATTTCACTTGTTAACCACTGAACTGCCTTCCTCAAAATTTATACTAAAAATATAAATGTAAGAGTGCCTTGCCCACCCATAGCACCAATATTTTTTAAAATATTTTTTGGCATTATTAATAAATAGCACCTGTCCCACTGATAATTTATTTGGGACATTGCTGGATTATCTGTTCAGTGTCTGCTTGTCCCACTAGACTGTCAGTTCCAAGAAGGCAAGGACTGATCCTGTTCTCTGCCAACATCTCAGCCCCTCATGCAGTGTCGCATGCTGATGATGATAAGCACTCCATGTATAAGAATGAATGAATGAATGAATGAAAGGAAGGGAAGAAGGAAGGGAGAAAAGGATAGCTTTTTCCACCAGTGTCTAATCCCACAGGTCCCCTCAACTCACCTCCTCCAGTGCGACTCCTTTCCAAATCATTCAACTGAATTTTCTGCTGGGCTTCTTCCAAATGCTTCTCCACTTCTCTCAAGCTCTTCTGGACTTGCTCATACTTGCTCTGGAAGAGAGGCCTCAAAGTTTCAAACCGGAGCAAGACAGAGGCCTGGGCTGGCCGTATCACCCAGGCTGCCTCCAAACCAGGGCCATCCACCTACCCCCTGCACAGTCTTCACTCAGGACACCTTCAAGGTCAAGACTTAGGAAGACCCAAATGTCCTCCAGGACTGAGCATAGGAGTCAGCCTGTGCATTCCAGATGTAAGCAGAGTGGAGCAGGCCCAACACCCCCACCCCACCACCCCTGACCACGTACCTTTAGCTCCTGGACCTCCCGGGAGGCCCGCAGCCACTCTGCCCGCTCACTTTCCAGCACCTGGCAGGCCATGTCCCCTTTGAAGCGCTCATCGGCCAGCTCTGTGGTTAACTCAGCAATCTGGGATGGGGAAGGTTCAAGCAGGGTTACTCGTTGGGGCTGCCACCCCTTCTCCCCTCACATGCTCCACAGGACCACCCTGGGACCAATCACTGGTTCTCACAACAAGGCAACCCTTCCATGTAAGGAAGAGGTTCAGAGCATGGACATCAGAATTTTACTGGTCTCGTGTGTTAGAATTCTGGGTCCAACACTCGCTAGCTGTGTGACTCTGAACCACACAGGATGCCTCTGTGATGCTCTGATGCTTACATGGGTGGGGGATAACTGATAGAACTGCTTTAAGACTTAAGTGAGATAACCCACTTAGCACGGTGCTTAGCAAGTAGTAAGCGCTCAATTTAAAAATAGTTATTCTAGGGGGTGGGTGTAGTTCAGTGGTAGAGCCCATGCTTAGCATGCATGAGGTCCTGGGTTCAATCCCCAGTACCTCCATTTAAAAAAAATAGTCATTCTAGTGGAAACTCTGCTTAGCCATCCTTCAGTGAGCCATCTCACTGGACCAGCCCACAGGCCCCCTCAGTAAGACACACTCACAGACAGCCCACCACCCAGGGATGCTCTCAGCCAGGAAACCACTCTGTGATTCCCCTGGGTCTATCTGCCTCTACCAGCTGATGGCCGTGCACACCCAGCATCGACTGTGTGTGTTCTCAACCAGTTTGTGCCACAATTACCTATTCCATTAGCTGTTCTATAAACCTGTAAAACATGACTGGACAGAGAGTTCTCATGAAAACTAGGCTGAATGCTTTGGAAGGAATGAATACAGGTAAGTCTCTTCTTAATTCTGTCAAATAGGTGTAGGTGCAAAAACTATAAAGAAAAACTAGAAGTAAAAATTTAGGCCTCTGCATTCAAATTGCTTTGCCATTTGCTCCGCTTTAAAGAAATCAAGACTGGAAATCATACAGTTGTGTGTTAGGGGTATGGTTTAAAAAAGGAAGTAGATCTTGAGTCAGAAGCTCAACCTCAAAAGGCTGTGGTCCTATCTCAGGCAGTTACAGTAGACGTGTTTAAAATTAAAAATAAAAATGTTTATTTTTAAATGAATTTCCACTTGCCTGACTTCTTTTTTCTTCAAAATAACTGACCAACCTCAAGCATTAGATAGGTCAGCACTTCTGTGGTCTGACTGCTGCAGAATACAGCCTTCCAGGTTTAAGGATGTGAGGAGAGAAACGTATGAGTGGACTGTTTATGACCAAGAGGCTCAGAAATGACCTTGCACAGAAGAGTCCTCATGAAACTGAGGCTACCCCTTACGCGAGGCAGTGGCTAAAGTCCGGAGGGAAGAAAAAGGGGAAAAAAATAGAGGCAAGGTACAGGGTTCAAGTTCAGATGTGATAATTAACATACGGTGTGACCTTGGACGAGGCTCCTCCTCTCTGGGGCTGTGGTCACCCAAGCTGTAAAATGTATTGAATTGGGCGATGTCTACTGTTCCCCTGGTGTTCCCATACTAGGCCACGAATCTTGCACATAAAGATGTCTGAATGCCACACCCTCCCATCAGACCATCTGCGTGGCACTGAGGGTGGGGACTGCGGGCTGCTCTCACACGGACACTGGGTGGCCCTTTCAGCATGGATGAAGCTGCCCCTCCAAGCTCATCTCCATCAGTACTACGCTCACAGGCTGTCTCAGAAACCACTCAGCTGCCCCATGAAGAAGGAGGATGCATATCTACATATTCTGACATAAAAAATCCCCAAGGCATATTGCCAAAGGGAAAAAGCAAAGTTGCAGAATAGAACATTTGCCATGTTCCCATTTTTGTTTGTACCTGCACAGAAAAAGGCACTCCCAAAGTGTTAATAGGGATTTCTTTTTTTTCCCCCTAGAAGGGTGGACTCACAAAGGACTCCAATTTCCCTGTAATGCCATTTCTGTCCTGTTGACTTCCTTAACCGCTTTTGCCATCAGAAAAAGACATAAAACAAAATAAACATTTTTAAAAAATAGTTCAAAAAATAAACTGAGCTGGGGCTGCTCCATCCAGTCCCCGCTCCTCACCTTTTCCCCTCCTGCAGCCCATCCGCTTCCCTCCCATCTAGCTGACCATAGCAGTGACTGCCCAGGCCGAACGGAGATTTCAACAGAAACAGAAAAACCGAGGCTCAAGGGGAGTGTTGGGAAGTCACACAGCAGGTAAACGGGCAGAGCGTGGATGGGACCCCAGATCTGTCAGATACAAGTACTGAAGCCAGTTAAAGAAGAAGAGGCCCTCCCCAGGTGCTCCTGGCTGCCTTGGCAGGGTCGCTTCCTTGCTATTCCTTGCACTGTTGTCTTTAGAGTATTCACTGCGATGACCTTGGATGGTTATTATAAAATTCCAGGATCCTCACATCCCCCAAACCATAATCTCTGAGGTGGGATGCAGGAATCTGAATTTCAACACACTCCAAGGCGATTTGTCTGCACGACAGAGTTTAAGAACTACGACCACAGAGACAGGATTGTCTCCTAATTTTGGCCTTGCTTGGCTTTAGGTGGGTTAGACATGCCTATAGGCATGCAAAAATATTCAAGCTGGAAAAGTGATCACTTGCAAAGACCACGGAATATAGGCCAGTGCCGTCCAGGAGTGCCCCCCAGCCACGCCCCTGGTCACACACACCCCCCCCAGCCACACTCCCTGATCATGCCCCACCTGACTCCCCATCTCTGAGATCAGCATTGATTCCAAACACCGGGACTGTGTTCTCTCTGCCTTGGCCAATTAGTGTGAAATTTAATTTGTGCTAATTGGCCTGAGAAGAGGGAGCACAAAATTGATTTAATACATTAATTTTGAGTTCCACAGAATCCAAGTCTGAAGCCCAAAGGATGATCAGTCCTTCCATACTGGGGAAATGACAAATGCTTTTCTCAGAGATAGAAGCCCCTGACCCTCCCCTGTCTCCACAAAGCCCTCTCCCTTCCTACCTTTTGGGGTCCAGGGGCTTTGTCCCTGAGGTAAGGGTTGAGTACAATGCCCAGAGTGATTAGGTGAATGCAAAATGAAAGCCAATTTAACGAGGGGCAGAGCCCAGTCAGCAAACCCAGAAGGGTCCTTCGCAGATTACTCTACGATCAGTTAACCAGAACTAATTCTGAAAACCTCCCTGGATCCGCCACTTAGCCAAATAATCAGAAACCCTCTTTCTACTTAGGGACAATGACCCTAAGGGTCTGCCAGAGAGAAAGGGATAAAAATGAATGGATGTTCTGTACATTTTGCATAAAGTCAAAGGAAAATAACATATCCTGTGTGCAGGCACCACGTGCGGTTTGGGAGAACAGTGGGCAACAGAGGTCTGATGAACGTTAAATGCTGAGCACACATGGGGTTCCTTGTCACTGTCACTTGCCATTCACGATGGGAGTACCTACGGCCTGCCGGCCCTGCCCTCAAAAACCCCACATGGGGCACCCACAAATCCTGGCCCTACTCGGCCCTTGGCTCTTACATTCAAGGACGCTCAGATCCCCGATAACCTTTCCCAAGATGAGTAAAAGCACAGTTCAGACACACTTCCCTGGACGAAAACCACAGCTCTACCACAGCACAACCCCTCCATCAGGGTCATCACGAGGCTTGTTGAAGAAGCACTGAAGGACCCCCACCTCCAAGATTCCCACTGGAGTCAAACCCTTGAGAGATGGGACCAAGGAGGCTACAGGGTTAACAGCTCCTCTGGGTGATTCGGATGCTCTTTAAAGTGCAAAAGCAACCAACACAAATCAACAGTAGCTTTAGGGGGAGGGGGGAGGCAGCTGGGCAGAGAGGGACTTACAGCCCTTTCTTCAAGTAGGATCTTACTTGGGCCCCAACATGCTACCTTTCACTCCATCTGAGCTGCCACTGATTGCAAGAGGCACGTTACAGAACATCTGAAAGTGTGGCCAGTTTTTAGTGTGAGAGGCCACTGACTGTTAGGTGCAGCCCAATCCCAAAGATGTACAAGGGTGGAAAATAATGCGCATCTGAGAATCGATAAAAACACAGAACGAAACCAAAAGAGTGCATTACCATAAATGATGCAGGTTTGGGAGTTGTGGAAACCTTTGACCTCTTCTTCGCCCTTCGGCCAGTCTGAAGAGACGTGGACTTCAGAAAACACTTCAAATCACCACACCAAAGAAGGCAAGCCACAGAATGGAAGATATCTGTACTACTTGTATTAAACTGACCTTACACCCACAGCATATAAAGAATTGCTACAAATCAACAAGAAAAGCAGCAGAAAAGGCTTAAAAGACCACCTTGCTAACGTGGATGACCAAAAGCCAAAAACATGTGAAGAGGTGCGAATTAAAATCACGTGAGAAAACCGCATAGCCACCAAAATCGCTAAATGAGAAAGACAGAGAATACCCAGCGCCGGTAAAGACACGGAGCAGGCAGAACCTCACCCGGCCATGGGAGCACAAACTGATAAACACTGTAGTAAACTGCTAAGTACTATCTATGAAAACTAGACACAGAAACAACTTAAAACCCAGCAATTCCATTCCTAGGTGCTCCTGGCTCTGAACAGAAAAGCATGAGCTGTGCGCTGAAACACACGTATCAGAACGTTGACAGCAAGTTTGTTCATAACAGTTCAAAAAAAAACCCTAATAGTCACTTAGAGTAGAAGGGAAAACAGTGGTCTCTGTACCAAATGGAATACTGTACAACAGAGTGAACGGCCCACAATCACATACCACAACGTGAATGAAATGTCACAGACAACGGCAAATGAAGGAAACCAGACAAATGAGCACACATATCTGATGAATTTAGATCAAGTTCAAAAACAGAGGGAAAAACTAATGACATTATACGTTGAGTTTGGTGGTTACTGGTGGAAGGCAGTGGCTGAAAGGGGGCATGGAGGTGGAATCGGGGGAAGCGGGGAATGATCTGTGTCTCACTCTGGGTGCTGGTCACATTGGAGTGTCCACTTTGTGAAAATTCATTAAGCTGCACACTTGAGATATGTGCACTTTTTTGTATGTTGGGCCTTAATATAAAGTTTAAAAAGGAAGGAAGGAAAGGAGGAACAGGAGGAAAAAGAGGAGGGGAAAGCGGAGGAGCTAGGGAGGAAGAGGCAGAAACCATAACACTCAGTCCTTAGAGGTGCTTCCTGGATAAAGCCCTGCTCTGACCCTGGCTGAATTCTTCCAGTTCAAGACGGTGCTATCAGAGGCATTCCCACAGAAGCCCTCTTGTATCTGCTGTGAGTACCACTGAGTGCCTTTGGTGGCCTTTCCATGAGGATTCATGGGAGAAAACTTCTTTAATAGCTCAGTACCCTGAGAAGTTGTTCTTTTCTCAAGCAACGTGTGTGTGTGTGTGTGTGTGTGTGTGAGAGAGAGAGAGAGAGTTTAACCGAGACATATTCTGTGTCTACAGAATATCCTGCTTTCCTCTCTGCTTTGGTCACTAGAAGGTTTGGTGTCAAATTTTCAGCCCACTGTTAATGGTTCTGCTCACTCATTCTGTGTCTCTTCTGCACCGGGGGGCTGGGCTGACGTGATGAGTAAGACATAGCCCTGCCCCTGGGGTCTCACAGCCTAGCTTGTAGCCTATAGTGGGGGCCTAATCCACCCTCAGATGGTCAAGGAAGACTTCTTGGAGAAAGTGCCACCTGAATGAAGAAAAAAGGGATGATGAGACATGAGCCAGGTGAAGAGGGCAGAGGGAAATGTCCCAGACAGAGGGAACAGCACGTGCAAAGGCCGTGAAGTGAGAGTGAGTCTGAGGCCAGTGGTAGATTTCTATATTCTAACGCTCTCCCTGGTTTTGTATACTCTTCAACTCTTATTTCCCTTTGCTCTGATTTTCTTAGCTTTTAAATTTTATCTTATTTTTCCAAGGCTCCATGCATCTTTTTGCAACCACGTGTGACACAAAGACAACAAGAGCCTGGGTGGGATATTCCGCAGGTGCCGACACTTATGTCCTTGGTTCAGCTCTCGGAAGCCTGGCTTCCTGCTCCCCTCCTCCCAGTGTCCCACAAGCTGTAGCTCTGGATGCCAAAGATGTTCACCTCATCCCTCTCGCCAAGTTCCCCCAGCAGCTGATGCATCGCAAACTCCCAAGTCCAACCTGACAGCTCGTGATGAATCACTGTGTCAAACGTCAGCTCAGAGGGAAGGAATTTCTACCAGGAAGTCACTGATATTTCCAATAGCGCACAGCTCTCCGATTTTTGCTTCTGCTGCTCTACTCATTGCTACTTCCAGTAAGAGGGGTCAGGCTGCTGGCTCTCCAGGGACTCCACTGAGAAAGTAAGGCACTTGTGTGTCATTTCCTCTCCTTACAGTCCTGTCCGCAGGAGGGCACAGGCTCAGGGTGAGCATCCCAGCCCAGCTTCCCCTGACAATATGCACAGATGTGACCCTCCCCCTTCCAGAAGCCCTGCCTCCTTCCTGACTGTGGGGGTGGGCATGGAGTGAGCAGACAGAGGACCCTCAGTGGCGAGGGTGGACACAATCACAGAGAGAATGAGGAGGGGAAAGAGACAGCCCCCTCCCACCCCGACTTCATTCCACATCTCCACGTGACCAGCCAGGTTCAGTTCAGGTTGTGAACGTAGGAAGCAGCACGTGCTCTGCTGGCCTGATGGTGAATCTACTCAGTCACCATTACCCAGCAACCCAACCAAGCAATGCCATCCGGAAAATACTCCCACAGCCTCGCAGGTGTAGAAAGCTCTAGTTTTGCTCTGGACTGACAGGTATCACCCCCACGTTGCCCCCAGGACCTTTGCACCTGCTATTTCTACTCTTCCTTTGGAACTGCACATAGATGGGGACATCAAATCACTCGGCTGTAAAGTCAGACATCTCCCTTGACCTCTTAGGCAACATTAGCCCTCACTCAACCCCCCTCCACTTACTACCTGCAACACTCTACAATCTGAAACTAGTCTGCACATTTATTTACTTGTGGTCTGTCTCCCTCTATTGGCCTGGAGGCTTTGTGAGGACAGGGACTTGGCCTTGTCCCAACCTGTATCCAAGGGGTCCAGTCAGATGCCTGACACCTGGGAGGTACCCATACATTATGTGTTGAATAAGGGAATAAAGCAGCTGTATGTGAACTTCAGCAGAACCCTGTGAGGTACCCAGAGCTTCCTGGGAAAAGACAGCTGAGGCTGAGTCAAGTACTCACCGGGGGTGCAAAATCTAAGGGAGCGTCAAAACCTTCAGAAGTCAAGATAAATTAAAAACATGAATGCAATCTTCAAGAAAATAAAAATTAATGCCAAAAATCTGTGATGAATAAAATATCAAAATTTCAAAGACAGACAGGATCCTACTATGTAGAGTGCACCAACGCTCACCTCACCCCTATTCTGGTCGACGAAGCCTGCATTTATTTAAAATTTTGATATTTTGCCCATCATGGATTTTTTTAATTCATTTACATTTTAAAAGATACTGTATTAAGTATTATTTATCTTGCAGGGTTTTTTGGCGGCCCTTTAAATTGTGCCTGAGACAACTGCCTCACAACCCTCACCCTAGTCCCAGCTCTGAGAGGTGAGTGAACCAGTCAGCTTTCCTTGAACAGCTCTTTCTTGGCCTACCCACAGCTCACTGACCACGTCCCACGTTATACTGTATGAATATGTGTAGAAATCTGTCATTTGTGATTGCTGCCTTGAGGGCAGGGTCATCTGGTTCAAGACTTCACCCCCAGCCCATGAGCTCAATATCCAGTTAAAGAAAGAAGAGGCCAGCATGCAGTCACACACACCCCAATCACGTGTCCCCTTCCATCTCTCAGAGATGACTACTATGCTGAATCTGGAATTACTATTCTCATGAACACCCAACTGTAACTATATAAGTGTATGCTCCAATCAATGTACAGTATTATTGTACACACTTTTAAAATACGTACTGTAACATATTTCAGGTATTCTTTTGTACGTTAATCATTTTCCTTCAGTGTTATGTTTTCAAGGGCAATCTGTGTTTGTTCATCTATCTCTACTTGAAGGATCAGGAAACCTCTATAAAGAGTCAGAGAGTAAATATTTTCAGTCTCTGTCACCATCACTCAACTCTGCTTTTGTGGTATGAAAGCATGGGACTAAACACAAATGAATGGCTGTGGCTGTGTGCCAATAAAACTTTATTTACAAAGAACAGGTGGTGAAATGGACTTGCCCTATATGAACCATAGTTTGCCTGCCTCCTCATTCATTTTCACCTTGGTAATTCAACTTTCAGTATTAACAAAATGTGTTCCCCAACCCTGTCAGTAGATTCCCATTGGGGTGTTTACTTTTCTTCACCATGACAAATGCTGCTGCTGTAAGCGTCTCATCTTTTCATTTATATGTGGGAAAGATTCTCTAGCTCGTGGACCTAGGAGTGGAACTGCTGGGTCACAGGGTACAGGCAGCTGTGACTTTCAGAGATAATTGCCTGTCTGAAGTGTGAAATGATACGTGCCGTGGTGTTAATTCACATTTCCTGATTGCTAGTTCATTGAGCATCTTTTCATGAGTTTATTGGCCATTTGAATTCCTGATCATCTGAACCCTTGGAATAAGAGTTCCCCTCCTGGGAACTGCCAATTCCTAATTTTTGCCCTTTTTCTTTAACTGCAGTGTTTCCCTTTTCCCACTGATGTGAGGAAGTTCTTTACATATTCTGGGTACTCTTTGCCAGTTACACGTGTGCAAATTTCATCTTCAAGTATTTTGTGCTTTGACAATTAGAAGTTGATTACTTCACTGGGGTCACACTGGTCATTTCCCCTCTGAGATTTGTGCTTCTTTGAGTCAAACGTAAGAAATTCTTCCCTTTGGAGCCAGATGACATGGGTTTGACTCTCCGCTCTATACTTGCCGGTTGTGTGTCTCTGGAAGGTAGCTAAAATCCCAGAGCCTCAGTTTCCTCCTCTATAAAGTGGGGACAGTCACAGCCCACACTGCACAGGGTTACTCTGAGGAGGCCTGAAGGCAGATGGTGCAAGGCCAGGCTCATCATCATCTTCCCCGTCAACAGACCTCCCCCTGCACAAGGACCCCACACAGGAGGGATGGGGGTACCTTGCTCTCTAGCAGGTCTGTGTTCTGCCGGAGTTCATTCCGAGACTTCTCCGACTTTTCTAGCTTCTGTCTCAGCGTTGTAAGCTCCTCCTGCAAAAACAAACACCTTAACGGAAGCCACTCTGGACCAGGGGGTTAGCTTCCATGTGCATTAAGACTGGGAAAGAAGCAGGTTATTTAGCCAGCCTATCTGTGATGATGCCCTGATGCTAAGCGCTTCTGAGGGACTTTTTCTTTGACCATTTCCGAGTATCAATGTCTCTGTGCTCATACAAGTCTGGTCCACGCCAGCCCAGGCTAGGGACTGAACACAAGTTCTCAGAACAGGACCAGTGCTGGTCCCGAGTCTGGGTGCCCGAGTGAGATGGGGTGCTTGGCTCTTCATGCTCCCGGATTATCACTCTCCTGCCCAGCGGCTCAGCACCAGGCTCACACCACCACCATTAGGAGCAACCTACACATCCACCCACTGCAGGCCAGTGTGGGGAGCTATGAAACAGACACACAAAGGAGTACTACGTAGCCACAAAAAGAGAATAGGGAAGGTGTCTACAAAAATGGCAATCATATGACAATATATAAATGTTATCCCATTAACATGCTGTGCACCTTAAATTTATAGTGTTATAGGTCAAACGTGTTTCAATTAAACTTTTTTTAAAAAGAAAATCCAAGAAAATGGACACGGCATGATTCTCAAATATGTTTTTGAGTGAAAAACGCAAGTTGCAGAGGAATATGCAGTATGCTACTATTTGTGTAAGAAAGATAGGAAGTTTTAGTTAAGTGGAGTGAGTGTGTGTGTGTGTGTGTGTGTGTGTGTGTAAACGCACACCTCTTTCATTGTGCTTGGATTTACTGTGCTTTACACATATGGCATTTTTTTACAAATTTGAGGTTGGAGGCAAGCCTGTGTTTAGCAAGTCTATTGGCGACTTTCTCCAACAGCATTATTTTTTAATTAAGGTATGTACATTGCTTTTAGACACAGTGCTATTGCACACTTAATAGACTACAGTAGAGTGTCAACGTAACTTATAGGCACTGAGAAGCCAATAAATTTGTGTGACTCGGTTTAGTGTGATACCCACTTTAATTTGGCGGTCTGGAACCAAATCTGCAATATCTCCCAAGTATGCCTGTATCTGCTAATCTCTGCAGAAAGAAACAATAGGCAGGGTAAACCAGAAACCAGTCAAAACAGTTACCTGTGTCAGGTGGGTGCTAATCGGGTAGGAGGGAGAGTAAGAGGTTAAGACTTAGGATGCGAAGACTCCACCACCCTCGAGTCTCTCTAGATAAGCAGTAAGCGTTCACACACTGGGGAAGCGAGGGTGTCTAACCAGCACCCGCTAGCCTAGGAAGAGCTGGGCACGTGTGTGCATGGGAGCAGAGGGACATCTGGAAGGGGGCAGCAAGGGCTGCTGGGTGGAGCATTCCTAGATCAAGAATTTCCAGGGCTGGGGGCACTAGTTGGGATGCAAGCACTAAGGTGGGGGAGGGGATGGGCCACCCAGCACCCTGCCGGCCACGGACCCACCTCCTTGGCTCGGAGCTGAGCCTCCCCAATGGTGACACTCAGCAGAGGCCGCAAGGAACCAAGGAGCTGCCACCACGGCCAGTCCTTGACCGCCAGGAACACAGCCATGTTCTTCTGGATGCACCGTGCAGCCAGCCGGTGAATCTGCAGGGGAGGAGAGTGAAGACTGAGGGCCCTTCCCACCTCTGTCAAAGGAGGCAGAGGGCAGCAAAGCCAGTGGAGAAAATGGGTTTGTATCCTAGTGCAAGGGGCTAGGTGCCTGGAAGAAAAAAAAAAGCTTCCTTTCGGAAGTCAGGCTCTCGGCATCAGGCGTTAGTCCACAATTTAGTCTTGCACAGCCTAATAATAATAACAGGATGAGGAGTAGAAAATATAATATGACAGAGCCACTTTTACATGGGGATTAAGTTCAAAAGTCACCGTGCAAGGCAAAAACCATACTCAAAAATCCCTGAAAGTGCCCTCAAGAAACAGTGACCAGGATTACGCTGTTAGTTGCTATTTAAGGAAGAGAAATTACTTTAGGTGCAGTTAAACACGAACTCCATGCTCCTTACTCTTAAGTGTGCATCAGAATCTCCTAGAGGGCTTGTTAAAAAGAGGGGCTGGGCCCCACCCACGACGATCTGACTCTAAGTCTGGGGAGGGGTCTGAGTATCTGCACTGCTCACAAACCCCTCGCTGATGCAGAGACTGCTGGTCCAGGAATCACGCTCTGAGAACCACTGACCTAATTCATTCTTATCATAGGTGGGAATCAAGCCAGCATCTCAACAGTCCAGACTGTACAGCCGGCACAGCGCCTCCTACAGGCCAGGCACTGCCCTGAGCATCTCACACACTTCAGCTCAGTCCCCTCTAAATCCTACGAGGTATTATTATCATCTCCATTTTACAGATGGGGAAACAGGCACAAAGAGGCAGAGTCACATGCCCAGCATCACACAGCTTCTCAGTGGCAGAGTCAGGACATGAACTCCTGTAGACAAAGCCCAGGCTCTTAATTAATCTCTTATTTCAAAACCATCCCAAGGCATAAACTACCTTGGGAGTGCAATGGGCCAGTGAGATTGCCCACAATGTTTTAATTATTAATGTTCTTGCCTTCTTCTATTCTTACCAAGTACATAAACTTGAGTTTACAAATTCACGTCAGCTGGAGGCATGTGCAGTGAGGTGGTAATTAACGATGACAATGCTAAGGTAACGTAACTAGGATTTATGGAGCAGTTACAAGCACCACAGACAGGACTAAGTGCACATCACCCCACCTCATCTGCAGCCAGCTACTACATGGTGGGCTGGGACTCAAACATGGTTCTTGTTTGTCTCCAGAGCCATGCTGCCTGTTCTCCCCTGTGCAGGCTACAGAGAGGAAACTGAGTCTCCAGAGATGTCCAAGGGTGGTTCAGGCCTGCGGATCCTGAACCTGCTCTTTGGTCCCAAAGGCCTCTGTGCCCGGGTCCTGCCCATGCCCTGTCTGCTGACCCATGACAGCCAAGTTCTAGGGAGATGGAACAGGCTGGAACCATGTCCAACCCAGGAGGGCTTGGACAACCTCATGGATATCCTGTTCAAGGCTGACATCATTGGTAATTTGATGTCAATGTTCTAGAAACAATCGTAACAGCTTACAGAGTATCGATAAAAGTCTCACCACTCGGGGTGGGCCTGTGGGCGGGCAGCACTGGCACCACCACGGGAGACGTGCAGAGCCCCAGGCTCACCCCAGACCCACTGGACCAGAATCTGCATGTTAACAACATCCCACTGGAGATTCGCACACAAGAGCGAGTGTGAGAAGCAGGGATTACAGCCCCGGGCCCAGCATGGATGGTGCTTTTCCAGGATCTCTCGCCCCTGACGGGTTCACGACGCACACAGGCCTTCATACCTTCAGCTTCTTGAATTCCTGGCGAGACAGGAAGCCCCTGCAGGCCGCCTGGAACAAGACGATGCTGTGAGACACCAGCTTCTCCCGCTGCTTCTCCAGCCTGGAGACCACGCCTGCCTTGAGGAAGACCTGGCAGGAGAGAAGCTGCAGGTGACTTCTCCGCCACCGAATCCAACTGTCTGGAGGTGAGGGAGCTGCCACTCAAATCCCAGCTCTCCGGCCTCCACCTGAAGTATCTGTTAGTAGGTGCCCTAGACTGCGGCTGTACATGATGAAAGCATCTGGTCTCCTGACGCCTCCTCTTTGCTTTTTTCTAACAGAAGAGAGTAAGAGGCAAGACGACAAAGGACTCAAAGACTACTGCAGAGCGGGGTCCTCGCATTTGCAGCACCGTCACCGCCCAAGAGTTCGGTAGAAATGCAGCATCTCCGGCCCCACCCGAGACCTGCTGAAGCAGAACCGGCAAGTCGATCCCCAGGGAATTCATGTACACACTTGTCTGAGAACCACTGGCAAGATGGACCCGCCTAAGCTTCTTTGTGCACCGGAGTCACCTGGGGAATGCGTTCAATGCACATTCCCAGGCCACACCCTGAGAAACGTAGAATCAGTGGGCTTGGTGTCAGTCCTGGGAATATGTCTTCTCAGTTAAGTGCCGCTGGCCATCAGAGAGGAGCAGAGCCCCCAAAATACTCAGTCCTGCCTTCTAAGGAGGGGCAGAGAAGGAGGGGAGTGGAGGGCAGCCCTCCTCAGGCAGGAGAGGATGGGGCCAGACTGGTGCCATCCACAGAAGATGCTCAGGCATCTAAGTGGAAAACAGCTCGAGGTCCACAATTTCCAGGCTGTGGCTCATCAATAATGGATGAAGGCCTCTGTTGCAAAGTAATCAATGCCTGCTCGGTCCCCCACAGGGCTGCCCTCGAAGAGACTGCAGGGAACACGGGAGGGTTTTCAGAGAGAACCCGGAGCTCTGGGGCCAGGCCTGCTCCAGCCAATGTGGTGAGGTCACCCCTCCAAAAGGCAAAAGAAAGATGCTGCACTGGTGGGATCTAAGTCAGTGACAGGGGAGGGGACGCACTGCAGATGCCCTGGTGCTGCTTCTTTCTAAGGACAGCCCTGTGCATTTCTTTGCCAGATGTGGCTTACAGCCCCAAAGATGGTCACTTTCTCCAGGAGCACTGGGAATGCTCTGTCGTAATCAGTGAACTTGTTAAGTAATCTGTGACAGTGTCAATTAACAGCTAACATTTAGGGAGCCCCTACTGTGCTCTGGATCTGAACTCACTATCTGTCATGCAGATAAAGCACTTTACATGCATAATTTTCTACAGTAGTTATGATGATCCCCCCACTTTATGGAGGGAGAAACTGAGGCTAAAAACGGCATTTGCCCACAATCCTCCACTAGTGAGTGGTAACACCAGGATTTATTTCCCTCTCTCTGACTCCAGACGAGACTACGATTATCACTGAATGTAATTAACATTTGCATGGCATCTATATTTTTCAAAGCTCTTTCTCCTACGTCCCATTTTAATACCCAGCACAGCCCGACAAAGAGTATGCTTGTTCAGGGAAGCAATGTCACTGACTCAAGTTCACGTAGCTGGTGATCAGCAAAGCTGAGACTTGAACCCAGAACCTTGGGTTCATGCCCTGCATCTATTCTCAACATGAGCACAAGGCTTCATTTCCTCCCCCGGCCACCTCCTCCCCGATGCAAACACCAGGAATCTGAAGCCAAACTGCAGTTTGATTCCACGTGGAACAAAGGGTCTTAATTGATTCTCCATTCCCCTAAACCTATTTTCTGTAACGAAGACCACTCCATCGACCCCACGGTAAACCTTTTCTCGGCGGGAAAACAGAAATTAGCATACTCAAGCGGCGCTAACTCTGTAGCCCTCCGTCGCTTTGCAGAACACTTTCCGTCAGCCAGGGCCACCGAGACAATTAGCCTCATTGAAATAAAGACACGATTGACTCATTACCTATCAGATTGCCTCAATAATGACTGTATTAATTTCACAAGCTAGTGAGTCCCAAAAGCTGCTATGAAAAAAATCAATGATCAAAGTGATGACAGCACCAGTCCGTATATTACACAAGGTGGCTGGTGCTGCCAAAAACGTTATTGATTAAGTATGAAGCTTTCATTAAAAAGATAATTGGAAACGACCATACAGGGAATGGGAATAAGTCATCGCCTCTGCAGAATCTTATCTTGCTTGATTTTCTTTCCTTTTAAGAGCATATTGCCGACCAGAAGGCCGACTGCATGTGGGATCCCACCTTTTTCATAAATGTCATGGCCCTTGGCACAGGCCTCAATAAGGCACCGGGGGCTGAGAATCACAAAGAAAAATCTAAATGGTTCGCTTTTCATGGGTCCAGCTGCTTATCAGACCCAAGCAGAGAGTGACAGCCCAACATCCTCATCTCTAAGGGATCCCTGGGAGCCACTGTTATGCAAGCCATTTTTGCTCTAAGAATGCTGAAGGCCAAGGTTTCGAAATCTAATATGGTAACAGCCCTCCTCTCTGACACTGCTGAGAAATTAGCTACTCTCCTTTTAGTAATTTTCCAGATTAGAGGAGTTTATTTAAACTTTCAAATGTTATTCTTTCTGACAAGCACCTTGTTCCCATCGGCAAATGCGTGCCACAGGTAACGACAGTCAACCCCTGTGAAAGAACAATTCGCTGATTCCGTCAGCCAACCTGGGAGGCACAAAGCAGTGGCTCCACTGTACAGATGGGGGGACTGACACTCAGGAGAGCAGCTAGATCACTTACTCAGGATTCACACCTCAGGAAGAGGTGGGGCCTAAGTGCGGACCAGGTAGGCCTGTTCTCCCCTCCTAGTCACAGCCTCCCCACCTGTTAGGTGCCGAACCTTGCAATGCACGGGAGTGGCACTTGTCCTTCGAGATCTGTCTACTGCCTGGCCTGGCTTCCAAAAGGACACACTGACTTGATTTGCTCTTGAGAGTTCCCCAGGGAATGCCAAATATTGCTCAACAATAATAATATCTCATTACTGGGATGCTCTGGTTTGCGGACACCCTGCCTCACCGCCGTGAAACTGCGTATAGCGACTTCTCATCTTGCTGTTTTCTCTCTTGCTCTGTAATGGCTGCTGAAATCACCAGGGCAGGTTTCTGTATTCACGAAACAACTGAGCAATTATCTAGACCATTCTCAAACTTGAGTGTGCACTAAAATCCCCTAGAGGGCTTGTTACAACCCAGGCTGTGGGGTCCCAGAGTTTCAGAGTCACTAGGTCTGGGATGGCTCCTGAGAGCTTATTTCCAGGAAGCTCTCGGGTGATGCTGGAGCAGCCAGTCCAGGGACCATCCTTTGAGAACCGCTAGTCTGGAGGGATGAAGTTCTTGGAGTTTATGATTCAGGATCATAAACACCTGTGCATAAATAATTTGCTGTATCTTTCCAGTCATAAACAGCAGAACCACAGCTAAGTGAGAAGAACCTGGGGTCGGGACCAATACAGGCGTGCACAGGAGCTGTACTCCTGCTACCTACAGGACCTGGAAAAGGGGCTTACTCCTCAGAGGTAGTTTCTGCGTCTGTAAAGAAGAGAAACTGTCATTATCTCAAAGGAGGCTGCGAGGGGAAGAGAGGAGTAATATTTGAAGTTGCCTAGCTTAGTACCTGGCTCGTGGCGGGAGCCCAGTAACCCACAGGTTTATTCCCTCTCCTGAAAAGCTGCTGCCAACTCCCAGCAGGATAAATCAGGTAGAGACCATGGAAGACTAACAGCTTTAACCACAGGCTTTAGCAGAACCAAGAAGCCTGCAGGGAGAGACTAGTGTGTCTATGGGGCAATGATCAGTGTAAATGGCTGTGAGCTCTCTGAAGAAAGAGGTGTGATAAGGCAGGTCACTTGGTATTGCAAGAGGCACTAATGGCCAATAATTTCACCATAGTACGTAGTAAACCTAGCAGTTTACATTGGACCTGAAGGTGGAAGGCAATCGGCAAAGGTTTACTGGATGACATTAACCAGCCAGTAGATAACTAAGTGGGGTGATGGCCCTTCAGTCTCTTCTCTCTCCAGTTTGTATTTCTAAACATTATCCCTACTCCCTTGCTCACCACCTGGTCCTGAGTTTACAATCTCTGTATCCCACCTCCCAAACCATGACCCATGAACACTCGTCCTGGGAGATGGTAACGGGCCTTCCACAAAAGCAAAAGATTGAGGGTTCCAGGGTCATTCCCCTGGAAATATATCCCCAAATAGCCTGGGGAGCCCTAAATACTACATTTTCCCTCATGAGGACTTACAGGATGCATGAGTACATTAGGGATCTGCAAAGTTCTTCACTTTTTCGGAAGGGCTTCTGGCTTAACACTAGTCTGGAGAAAGCTACTTCCTTAAACTCTAAAATCACGTACCCTCTTTCCAAGTCCTTCCCTTTCACTCACTGCTGCTAATCAGCCAGTTCTACAGTTGCACTACAGCTGGTTGCAAAGTAAAAGGTACAAGGCTCTGAGTGAAGATGGCTGTTTCCTCTCAGGTTGCTCTTTCTGAAGTTCAGAAAGTTCTCCTGAGGTCTCGAATGTTAACCCTTCCAGACCACTGAGGTTCCTGGGAGGGTAGCCCAGGAGTGATATTTCCCAAAGTCATTTCCTCCCACATTATAACACTTTATCTTAACAGCCTTGTCATATAGGAAGGGCAGAGAATCACTAGTCTTGTTTTCAGTTCGATGAATAGGAGACGCACAGAAGTAGTGAACGCTGAGGTCAGACAAGAGTCGTGTCTCCTCTGGGCCCCTGAAGTGATGGGTAGAATGGCCTAAGAAAGCAGCTCTACTCACCTGGCTGTGCCCCACGGCCACTGCCTTCTTCTCCAGATCCAGGGTCTGCAGGAGCTCCTCCACGGCCTGCAAAGAAGAGAGAAGCAGAGGGGAAGGCAGACTGAAGGCAGGAGGCTCCCAGGGTGGAAGATCAGCTGGCTGGATAGGCTGATGGACACATCGGGAGAGAGAGGATGACCCCACACGTCTGTGAGCTAACAGAGCCCCACCACCCCAGGGAAGTGCAGACGATGAGCATGCACTGAGCACCTACTGTGTGCCATCCACTCTGCTGGCACCTGCATAGACATCATCTCGTTTCATCCTCACAGCAACCCTGGGTGGGTCATCATACTACTGAGCCCATTTTATAGATGGGAAAACCACAGATACAAAACTAAATGGAGAACGTGTCTGCTATGGAAAACAGCACGGCGGTTCCTCAAAAAATTCATGTAATTACCATATGATTTAGAAATTCCAATTCTGGATATATACCCCCAAAGAAGTGAAAGCAGGGACTTGAACAGATATTTGTGCACACTCACATTCATACCAACATCATTCACAGTTGCCAAAAGGTGGAAGTAACCCCAGTGTCCTTCAACAGAGGAACAGATAAACACAGTGTGGTGAATACACCCAACGGAATATTAATCAGCTTTAAAGGGAATGAAGTTCTGACACCTGCTACAACACAGATGAACCCTGAGGACATAATGCTAAGTGAAATAAGCCAGTCACAAAAGGACACATATTGTATGATTCTGCTTATATGAGGTAACTGGAGTAGTCAAATTCAGAGATAGGAAGTAGAATGGTGGTTGCCAGGGGCTGGGGGGAGGAGGATGGAAGTTTGCATTTAATGTGGACAGAATTCTGGTTTTGCATGATGAAAGAATTCTGGAGATGGAGCGTGGTGATGGTTGCACAGCAGTATGAATATACTTAATACCATTTGAAGTGCACAATTAAAAATGGTTACAATGGTAAATTTTATGTCATGTATGTTTTACCACAGTTTAAAAAGATGAAGGCACTTCTCCAAGGTCATACATTACACATGAGCAGAACTAGATTGGAATCAAGGTCTATCAGGTCACACGGCAACACTGACGTCTTTACTGCTTCACATGCTCAAGATGCCTGCAGAGGACCCTAGGCCACTTGGGAATTTACCTACCATGTCTCCTGTGACAGCCTCCCCTGCCCTCTGTCCTTCTCTTGCTGCACCTGTCTGGGTCTGACTCGCTCTCATAAATGTTTGCTGAAGAAATGACATGGCCATTACCCTTGTGTTCCTGACCTAGAGTAGGGAGCGGGAGAGAGCCCGTGTTTAACTCATCTGTGTCCTCTCCAGCCCCTGGCCGTGGTCTAGGCATACAGTAGGAACTCAATAAACATGATGACTGAATGAGTGAACGCCCACACAGGAGATCCAGTGAGGGGAGAAGCAGAGTGGGGTCGGGGGTAGTGTAGAGAAACCCAATGTGGGAGAAGCAAATTCACTCAAAGAGATTCCTGGATGCAGCCTTGGCCAAGTCACCAGCCATTTAATGGAATTTTCCTCTTGTCATGTAGTCCTGCAAGCTCGGAAATAATCCTGCCAGAGATCTGTACCCTCGGATAAATGCAGGTCGTGCCTGGTTCCCTTGTGACTGCCAACTCCCCTCCCACTCCGCCCTCACACTAGCCCTCGCGGACCTTCCATTCACTGAAAATCACCGAGTCTATTTTCAGAATAAACTGTCAGAAAAGTAATTGCGACACTCAAGAAGCAAAAGGTATTATGAGACGGAGTAATTTAGCAGATGAGTTTCAATTCCATGGGTCATCAGCAGCATGGAAAATATCCCAAGATATCAAAAAAAAAAGCTTATTAAAAGTCTAGTCCAAGACTGTAGTCTGGGAGGGTTTCCTCCTCTGACCTCTGGGAAGAACGTTTCATAGTACTGCTCCAAAAATTCAGTGTTTTCACTTATTACATTTAAGCCAAAAATGTTCCAAGGGAGCTACAGGCAGCAGAAGGCATAAAACCAACATATCCAAAATACAACATTTTTTCTTTCTGCACAAGAGGAAAACAAATAAAAATTGGCCAAAAATAAGACGGGTGAATGGAAAATAAATACAGTCAGTGACAATTACCTAAGTCTACCTCGGAGTTAACACCCAGAGCATGTGTGTGGGGGAGAAATCAGGATGTGGAGTCAGATCCACCTGGGCTGAGACTCTAGGTTAACCACTCACTAACTGTGTGACCCTGGATGAGCATCTTACTCTGAGCTGCAGGCCCCTCTTCATAAAAGTGGGGAAAATAACAGCACTGATTTTGGAAGATTCTGTGGTTGTGTTCAGGAGTGCTTCATGGAGTAGCAACATTAGTAATCACTCAGATGACTGGATAAAGCAGTTGTGGTACATATAAAAACACAATGGAATATTACTCAGTCATAAAAAAGAATGAAACAATGCCACTTGCAGCAACATGGATGGATCTAGAGACTGTCATAACTAAGTGGAGTAAGTCAGAGAGAGAAAGAAAAATATCATATGATATCACTTACATGTGGAATCTAAAAAAAAAGGACACAAATGAACTTATTTACAAAACAGAGATAGATTCACAGACACAGAAAAAAACCTTACAGTTACCAGAATGGGGGGAAGAGGGTAGGGAGGCTTAAATCGGGAGCTCAGGATTCATAGATACTAACTACTATACATAGAATAAACAACAAAGTCCTACTGCATAGCACAGGGAACTATATTCAATACCTTACAATGGCCTATAAGGAAAAAGAATATAAAAAGGAACATATACGTATAACTGAATAACTCTGCTGTACCCCAGAAATTAATACTATATTGTAAATCAACTATACTTCAATTAAAAAAAAAAAACTTCTGAGAAAAAAAAAAAAAGAAAAACGACTGAGCCTCAGGTAAGAACAGCACGAGTCTGTGGCAATCCTGACCGAGGCTCTTCCACTCCCACAAGCTCTGCCACTGCAGTGGTCCTGCTAGGCGAGACGAGCTGTGAGAACCCTCAGCTCTGCTGCCAGAGGGTTTCACTTATATAGAGCCAAGCACAGGGAAACCCCACACCCAGGATCCTTGTTAGAAACAGAAGTGATCTCGGCAGCAAACAAGTGGAGAAGGTCAATGGCGCAGCTGGCCTAAGATGGTTATTCTGACAGGGGCAGGTGAGTATCAGGTCCCTATAACAAGGGATGGAGGACACGGGCCAGGTGCAGTGGGCCCTGATAAACTCCCGTACATGCCTGGCAACCTGGAAGCCTACACGCATGCACAGGAGGGACCAAGAGGACCTGAGCCAACTATATATCCCTACTTCAATGTCAGGCCACATGCACAGGAAGAAAACATGCGAAAGAGTCACACAGAAAGTAAAACCCGTGGCACGATCATATATGCCTTAATGTTTAATACGTTTCCCATCCCACACGGAGCACCATAAAAATTAAATAAAAGTGTCATAATAGATTCAAGGTATCTGATCACAGCCGTTGCTGACCACTAAGCTGTGCTGATGCAGGGGCAACCCCTGAGAATCCAAAATTTATGATAAAAGCAAGAATAGAAAAGAACTGAACGGAGGTATCAGCAGTCACATACCATGGAAGAGACAGACTCCATAAATCTAGTCCAGATAAATTACTAAATAATTGGGAAAAGATCAAAATCTAGAGATGCAATTTTACATTATTGAAAATGTCCAGTTACCAATAAAAAATTACATGACATGCAAAGAAACTGCAAAGTGTGACCTATACTCAAGAAGACAAACCCAAATAAGCAGTCATTAGAAACCCTCTGTGGGCTTAGATGTTGGACTTAACAAAGACTTCCAAGTAGCTATTACAAGCTATTACTTCCAAGTAGCTGGTACATGATGTGTTTACAAACATGCCTGGCACATGCCAGGCTTCCTAAGTACTAATACCAGTGGAGATCCTGAGGTATAAGCCCCTCTTCGGTACCGTGAAGTGATGACATACCTTTCACCATTCGAAGCCCAAATTATGAGTCCTTGAATGTACCTGGGAGAAACCCAACTGAGGTCTCCACTTACAGAGTCCTAGAATTTTGCAAAGAGCTTTCTCTCCAACGTTAAACAAGGAGGCATCCAAAAAGCATACAGTCTGACATCTCACGTTAAGCTGAACGTGCCAGACAAGGAGCGAAAGACTCCAGGAACAATGAAGACCATGGCTGGGAAGTGATTCTCCAGCTTGCTCCTCACTGGGCGTGTGATACAGGGAATCCAAGTCTGTGGAATTGGATGCTCCGCCACCGAACCATCCAGCTGCTGTCAGATCAGCATCTCCTCCATGAAATGTGGCACATGCTGGGGCACCTACGATGTGCCAGGCACTTTGTTATACAGTACTGCATACTGCCCCGGTCATAAAGCTATCAAGCATCAAGGGGCATGGATAGATGGAAAGAGAGACGGCAGAAACCAGGATTTGAACCCGAAGCCTACCTCTCAACCACATCCTTTATGCCACTGAAACTCTCACTTACACACTCATCAAATCATTCCATATGGACGGGGATTACGTCTCTGCTATTCAACTCTATTGGCTCAGGATTGTAAACAGAATGATTGGCGCAAAGCAGAAAAGATATGAGCAAACACATAAATAAACACACATTTGTATAACTGGGTGGGTTAACATTGAATGGAAAACATGCAGAATCATTGAAGCAGTAGACCCAAACTGGAGGACAGCAAGGTGAGGAAGAAAAGGATGATGAACAAATTCCAGAGGGATTACCAGAGGCCCTGAAATAATCATTCAGCACCCTGAGAGCAGTCAGCTCCCCCTCCCAGCCATGGGCTCCCAGGGGCCTCTTCTCAGCAGAAAAGGACTCCAAGACAAGTTCCAAGGAAACTCGGAGTGTCCACCAGGGCTGGAGATGGAACAAGAGTGGCTGCCTTTGAGTATACGGATTAACATTCCTTAACTGTGTTCTTCAGATCAAGTCCCCAGGGACAGAGATCTGGTTGGCTAAAATTAGTCATCATTGTAGACAATCTTGAGGGCAAGTGCCCACACTTCAGTCATCAATGGGAGACTTGGCACCTCCTGCCTCAGCAGCAGAGAGACTGAAGGGACCAGAATCTGGACACAGCCAAGGTGAACTGAAAGAGCTCTTCAGTAACCAGCCTGAGAGTCCATCACTACAGTCACTCTGGGTGGGCTTCAGTGTAGGTTAAGGCATCTCAACCAGATGGGATAACCTAGGAGAGGAATGGGATCCACAACGATTAGAGGGGGAAGACAGGGTCATTTTGGAGACCTGAGCCTATTCCTGGGTGTCTAGAAGAGACGGGGGCATCCCGAATGGTGGGAGGTCAGCATGAGGACATAACTCCCTAAAGAGGACAACAGAATGGGCAGAGAGGACTTGACTCCTTCATAATCTTGCTTAAGCCAGCTCAAGTAATAAGGACCTGGTCTTTGATGCCATTCCCCAGCTGGTAACATTTCAGTCAGCCATCACTGACCACCTGACAAAGCCCATGCTCACCACCCCTGCTAACAATGACCTAGGGTCTGGCCCCTGCCAACATCCACAGACCCTTTTCTTGATACCTGGCAGCACTTCTGCTCCAGCTGCACGAAAACTAGCAGCGCAACTTCATGACTATGGATCCTCACGTGCTCAGTGTTGGTTGCCCTGTACTCTCCCTCTTACTTCATTCCTCCAAATTGTCCCACAAAGCTCAACTCAACTATCACCTGCTCTGAGGTGTCTTCCCTGAATGCCCCACCCTCACCCCTACTGCAAATATCAAAATTTTAGAGGTGTTCCCTGGGGCATCCCAAAGCCATCCCTCATCTGGAAATTGCTTGTCTCAGTCTTTCTCCCCCAGGAGACTGTGTTCTGTTCATGCCTGCATCTCTGGCAGCTAGCACAGGGTCTAGTGCAAAGCAGGCCCTTGGTTAAAGTTGGACGGAATCAATAATAATAAGTTAAATTAACATCATGGATGGCACATTCTATACAAAACTTCATCAAACACTCTGTCTTCAAAGGGTTTCCATTCAGAACATGAAAAGATGTTCAACAGCACAGACCATCAGGGAAATGCAAATCGAAACCACAATGAGATAGATACCACCTCACACCCATTAAGAATGACCACTACCAGAAAAAAAAAGTTCATGAGGATGTGGAGAAATTGGAACCCTTGTACACTGTGGGTGGGAATATAAAATGGTGTAGCCATTATGAAAACAGTTTGGAGGTTCCTCAAAAAATTAAACAGGATTACTGTACAATCCAGCAATTTCCCTTTGGGTGTATGTCCCAAAGAGTTGAAAACAGGGTCTCAAAGAGATATCTGTACACTTGTGTTCATAGCAGGGTCATCCACAATTGCCAAAAGATGAAAGCAACCCAAGTGTCCACTGACAGAGGATGGATAAGCAAAATGCTGTATATAAATACAACAGAGTTATCATTCAGCCTTAAAAGGAAGGAAACTCTGACACATGCTACAACCTGGGTGAACCCTGAGGACATCGGACTAAGTGCAATGAGCCAGTCTCTGAAGGACGAATCTTGTAATGATTCCTCTTATACAAGGAGCCTAAAATAGTCAAATTCATAGAGACAGGAAGCAGTATGGTGGCTGCCAAGAGCTGGTTGGGAGGCAGGAAGGGGGAGTTAGTGTTTCATGGGTATGGTTTCAGTTTTAGAAAATGGAAAGTGTTCTGGAGATGGATGGTGGTGATGGCTGCACAACAGTATGAGTGCCACTAAAATGCATACTTAAAAACAGTTAAGATGATAAACTTTATGTGTATGTTATCACAACAAATAGTACAAAGGCCTATGTAAGGAATTTGAGAGCCTAGTTCAAATTCCAGCTCTACCACTACCCCACCGCCTGGCTAGGTGATGATGGCCTCAGTTGCCTCTGCTGTAAAATGGGGACAACTCCCATATCAGAAAGGCTTTATCTACTGAGGGCTGTTCCAGACTGAAAGTCTGTAACCTTTCCACATGAGGCCTGATATTCTGTGATGAGAGTTTGTGCACAGGAGGTAAAAGGCATATGCTATTTTTGTTTCAGGAGCACAAAATATCCAGCAGGGACCCAGCAAATGAGAGTACTTCATTGGAAAAGTGTCTTGTTTCAGCACCGCATGTGAGGCACACGGGGGACGCCCCGAGGCCCACTTTACACCCTGACAATGAATTCCCTCTGCTGCCGTCTAGTGTCTAATGACAATATTGACTTTTTCTGGCTGTCAAACCTGTCTTATTAAATCCTGAGGTCTTAAATGCTTTGCACACAGAGGCTGACAGTTTGCCCACCCAAGCACGTGTTCATGTATAATTCATGGCGTATCATGTTGCCTGGCAAATGAATATTTATCAGCTTTTTTGTAAGAGGCAGGATGGCGTTTCCTTTTGTTGCTACCAAAATCCTACACTGCAGCAAATGAAATTTGTGAGCAAATAAAAAAAGAAGTGAACACTCCCAACCAAGTCCATTCCGCTTGTAACTTTCCACTTTCCGAGGCCCCCGGCGCGTGCATGGAGGTGGCTTTGGTTTGGCTACGAAAGGGAACTACAGTCGTCCAGAATAGAACCGCCTCCATATGCTGCCCCCACTGCCTGCACAGCCAGCTCCCTGACGACCCAGTTCTGTGCTGCTTTCAACTGCAGAGCAGCCCGAGACCCTTTCCGTGGTTCCATTCCAGATGCTTTGAATGGAGATCAAATTTGGGGGAGATCAAGGATAAGGAACCCCAAAGATTGGTACAGAGTGGCTGGTGGCACCAGGCCAGGTAGAGTTTCATGGTTTCCAAAATGGGTTGCCATCCAGGGAGGGGACAGCCCTGAACCACACCAGCTGGGTCTGAGGTCCCCTCCCCGTGATGAGTTCGCAAGGCCACAGAGAAATGCTGCCTTGTCTGCAGGAGGGAGCCTGTGCCCTGGCCCCTGCTCCACAACAGAGCCAAGAGAGGACTTAAGAATTGTGACTGTTCACTTTTCTTGCCTCATGACTCACTGACTGAGGTCTCCAGTGCTGTGATCTCAGGCACGCGTAGACGCACTCACTCGGAGGTGGAGTTTCAACCCAGTTGTGAATACAGAGTCTGTGTGGCTTGGCTGCCATCACTCTGGCCTTGAAAGATGCTGATGACAGAAATTCACACACAATGAGCCCTTACTAGGCCCTGTGTCAGGCACACCAACTATACTATTACATCTAATCCTCCAAATACCCCACTAAGGTTGATGGTGGTGTTGTTCCCATTTTACAGATGAGGAAACTGAGGCAGAAGGATGCAGTAACTCATTTAAGTTCACACAGCCCCAGCTGGGCATCAACTGCAGGTCTGTTTGACTTGAGCCCATGTTTTCTCAGGCCGTCCCTGGAATCAAGAAACTTGGGTTCAAGGACAAAACCCACGAATGCTTGACTGTGTGGCCTCAAGGGAATCAATTTATCTCTATGAGACTCTGCTTCCTCTTATAAGGAGATATAATAGCTCTTGTCTGGCAGGGCTGTTGTCAAGATGCACTAGGACTCTGCCAGTTCCTAAGAGCTCTGTCATCATTGATCAGCCGGTGGCTGTTCTCAACAGAAACACGTACTGAGGGTTTGGCACTAGGGGTGAAGACTTCCAGCTCCAGGAGTTCACAGCAAAGCTGGAGAAAGGAGACACACCAGGACAGACATGCAGGGTTAGGTATGTGTATTCGTTCATTCACTCATTCACCCACAGAAAAATTACTGAGAACTTGCTATGAGCCAGAAAACACACAGGTGACCCACAGAACTTCAGGTAAGGGTAAGTGCTACGCAAACATCAAAACAAACTGATGTGATAGAGAGTAACATCTGAGCAAGACGACACTGGCCAGGCAAAGACTGGTGAGAAAAGTGCTCCAGGCAGAGGAGACAGCTGGTGCAAAGGCCCTGAGGGGGAGTGTTCACTATAATTCTTTAAGACAGGGCTCTAGTCTGAAATACTTTCCAAACATTTGGGCTGCAAAGCCTTCTTTTCATAGACTAACTCAGGGCACTGATGCTGAGTGGAACTCCCTCTGGCAATGACGACTCCCCCTCTTGCTAGGAGCCCTTCTAGCAGGGACTTGCCCTTCTCACGGCTCTAATTCTTTACCCGCACTTCCCCATGCAGGGTTCCAGAAGGACCCCTACAGGATGGCCAGTGTCCTACGTGACACCACAGAGGGTGCACTGGGGTCTGGGTCAAACCTCAGGCCACCCTCTTTGCCCCCAAGGCTGGCTCTGAGACCCCAGCAGGAACAGAAGCACAGGGGCCTCCGCCCCCTCACCCAGCCCCACATACCTTCCTCTCGTTTATGCCCTCGGGGGCCGACAGGAGCTTCTTCATGAGTAGAGGGTCCAGCACCTGGAATCTTCGGCGGAACTGGGTGAGCCCCATGTGGTCAGCATAGCCTGGGGTGGGAAGCAGCAGGAGCAGAGCACAGACTCGGTGAGGAGCACAGGGGCACCGGAGCCCGCTCCCAGCCTGGCTCCTCACTCCAATTGCCATGTGGAACCACTTTGGGGGCCTCAGTTTCCTCATTTGCAAATTTGGGAGACTGGGTTCAATCAGCATTTCCCAAATGCGTTCCCAAGAACATGAACCCTATAGAAGGCTCCACGGAAAGAGAAAAGGCTGCACTCTCATCAGCCTCTCAGAAGGTCGCAATGTATGTCAGCACTGGAGTCAAAGGCGCTAAACCTCCGCAGGGAAGATGCCCCGATTACCTCTGCTTACCCCAGAGATTTCCAAACCTGCTGGACCATGAAAGAAAATTTCTTTGGTCTAGTTTTACCCTCCCCTAGCAGCACGTGGGAAATGCTGCATCGGATAGAATTCAAGGGTTCTTTTCAATCTAACGTGTGGGATGGACAGAGCTGCACCCTTCTATCTGGAAACTGGGAAGAGGCATCTGAAAAGCTACCAAGAGAAGGTGACACTCAAGCTGGCCTTTGAAGGGGCTATGAGAGCTTGCCAGAGGATCCGGTGTGGAAGGGAAGTCCAGGCAGAAGGAGCTAGAGCGGGAAGATACAAGGTTTGATCCAGTCACAGCAACAGCCAACATTTACGAGGCTTTGATGCATGCAAGACACTAGGATAACAACCTCTTTGTGTTCTAGACACTCTGGGGCCTGTAATTATTACACCCATTGTACAGATGTGGAAACTAAGGCTCAAAGAGTTCACATCACCTAGCCCAAAGTGACGTGGATCATAACTCTCCCAGCTGGGATTCAAAGCCAGATAGCAACAATAACTAATTAAGTGGAGAGAAGCCAACAACAAGGTCAAAGATAAGCAGGACTGGGTCCCCAAGGAACTTGAACTCAAATTCAGACCTCGAGGTTTGGACTTCATCCTGGGTACAAGGGGCATGGTAGAGCCTTAGTTGTCTCAAAATGACCCCTCAAGGGGCTGGATGGGAGAAGGTCTGGTGAAATCTCACTTCATTTTGAGACTTCACTTCACAGTAAGCCAAATGCATAAACCCTAAAAAAGAGTCACGGTGGGTGCATGTGGCAAATTCAGGAAGCCTTCCTGGGAGAAGAGGGTTTCAGGCCATGTTCAAAGAACATGCTGACCACACAGAGACATGAGGCTGGGAGGTTTCAGGCCTGCCCTTTGAGTCAGACTTACCTGGGTTCACATCCCATTTCTGCCCTGATTAACCCCTTGACCAGCGACAAATGATCTCATTTCTTTGAGATTCAAGGTCTCCACTTGTCAGATGAGAAAAATAAGATCTCTTGTCATACGGTCAAAACGAGGCTTAGATACAATGATGATTATGGTAAAGAGGCTAACACGAATGCTTTCTGATGTCCAGGCACTTTCCTAACTGTGATTCCTTACTCGTTCAGCAACCCACTCGACAGTCCTCGAGATCTGAGCTATTGTAGGAGAGGAGAGGGAGGCACGATCTAGGGGCCCACGGCGTGGGCGACAGCCAAGCCCAGAGTCTCAGCTGTGCCCACCAGGCCGTCCTAGACATAACATTTAATGAGCATTTACTCTCTGCCAGGCGCTGAGGGCTTTGTGAGAACATCAATTAGTGTGTGTACACACACAGCGCCCAGCACGTCGTCAGCATCCTCAAAGCAGCACGTGTGTGGGTGCGTCATGCATGCATGTGTATGTGTCTGCAGACAGACCTCCTCAGAGACATCGCGGGTTCAGTTCCAGACCACTGCAGTAAATCAAATATTGCAATAAAGCGTCACAAAAATTCTGTGGTTTCCCAGTGCATACAAAAGTTATCTTGATGCCATACTGTAGTCTGTTTATGCAATAGCATTATGTCTACAAAAATAATGCACATATCTTAACTTAAAAATACTTTATTACTAAAAATAAAAACTAAGCATCAGCTAAGCCCTCAGCGAGTTCTAAATTTTTGCTGGTGGAGGGTTTGAAATTTTGCAAGAATTACCAAAATGTGACACAAAGACACAAAGTGAGCAAAATGCTGCAGGGAAAAATAACGCCAGCAGACTTGCCAATAGACAGGGTTACAACAAACCTTTGATCTGTAGTCAGTGCAGGTACAGCGGGAAGCACAATGAAACGAGGTCTGCCTGTTACATATACACATTACATATACATCGATGTCAAACCCAAAATATTTGATACACACGTATGTATCTATGTGTGTGAATATTTTTTATATGGTGTGAGAGAGACAGAAGAGACTCAGAGCACAAAAAAATGAGGAGATGAACCAGGTCTGGGAGGCAGAAATTGGGAAGTTCTACCAGAGACTCAATGCTTTACATAATAACTCCTTCTGGTGCGGCACTGAGCATGCAGAGGGCAGACACTGCAGGCAGGACCTGAAGCCAGAGGAGGAACACGCTGACCCAAGCGTCCACCAGGGGCTTTGACTGCTGGGCCAGGGTCCCTGCAAAGGCCCAGTGCCTCCTGCCAGCCAGGTGGAATCGATCAGCCACGGGCTGTGACCATCCTGCTCTTCCGCCATAACATTATCTGTCTTCCTGAACCCGCAGTTGCAGACAGGAGGGGAAATCAATGCGATGCTTAGGGGAGCAAGGGTCTCATCTTTGCTTCCAGCTGCTCCCAGCTTCTCGGTCCAGTATCTCATGCCCAGGGCTCCACATTAACACGGAGGGAGGAAATGGGGGCAGTGACCACAAGCTAGGGAGTCAGTGGCCATAGAAACATCAAACAAATGGGTCCCCACCTAGACTCCCTGTCAGCCCCAGCCATTCAACACTCTGGCTTCGCCCGAGCTGTTTCTAGCTGTCAGGGAGGGGAATCCATGGGGAGGCCTCTGGGGTCTCAGAGGCAGAAAAGAATGAGAAAATTTCAGATCAAATTCAACTCAATACGAGCTGATGGGGAAACCCTGGGTTAGGTTTGCTTTCTAAACTACAGGCCTAACACTTCATCCCTTTGATTAAATATCCTTCATCCCACTCTTGCTCCAGCATCTCCTCAGCTAGACCTAGGCCACTCACAGCCTTCCCTGGTGGATCTCCCCGCCTCCTCTCCCACAATTCCCCAGCCCACTCTGAGCCAGATTCCCTGAACACCCATGTTCCTCCATGCCTCCTTGCCTTTGCATCTGGTGCTCACTCTGCCTAGCGTTCCCTCTCCCCCAACCACCCAAGGTGAGCTGCTTGCTTTGTTCCAAGACTCAACTAAGATGTCATCTCCTCCAGGAGGTTCTCCCAGTCTCCTGACTGAGAGCACAGAGCTGCTTTCTCTGGGCAGCCAGTACCTCCTACTTCCCCCCATGACACGTGCCCTTGTCACACCGTACTATCATCGCCTATCTGAGAGTACACGGATCTCCCAAACCAGGCTGAGCATCTTGAAGACCAAAATATTTCTCACTGTGGAAATTCCACTCTATCCCAAGGTAGATGCTTCTGAGATGTTAGTTGTTGCAAGTAAGATGATTAAGACACACCCCTAGCCTTCCAGGACTGCACGACTAATTCAGAAAATCAGATGGGCTTTGAACTCAAAGAGACCTCAGTCCAAATCGAGGCTTTGCCAAGTTCCAGCTGTGTGACCCTAAGCAAGTCCCTTCTCCTCTCTGAGCCTCAGTTTCCTCACCTGTAAAATGGGTAATCATAGCTTCTCCCTCATAGGGCTGCTGTGAAGTTTCAACAGGACACCACATAGAAAGCTCTGGGCCCATGTAAAGCTCAGTGATGCTCCTGACCCTTGGCTGCCACTGGTCAGTGAGCCTGTCCTAGAAGTCAGCTGCC